GCCCGGTCTGCCGCGGGTGAAGCCAAACTCTGTCTGGCATGTGCTGAACAATTCATATCCAAAGCCCAGTATTGAAAGGGTGCACGTACCCCAAACCAAGCAACTAAACAAAAGGGTAGAAAGCCGCACCTGCGTAGGGGGGATGCCTGATCCTAACCCATGGTGAGACACGACTACCGCGATGAAAACCACGACCATCTGGCATGAGAATTCAGGATGTTTGCTTCACAGGCCTGGCGTGTTCCAGTGGGGGCATGTTTCCCAGCATCTGGAACTTACAAGTTATGCAGTCCAAACACCGGAAAAAAGCCCATGAGGTGTGGTGGCATCTGCTTTTGGACATATGTTTGTCAGCCAAGCCAACGCATTTGCTGCGGCTCAGTGACACATCCAAGACTTGCTGATTCTCAGGGAATGAGGTGATGACCGATGACCCCTATAAACCATCCCTATGGTTCCTCTAAGGGAATCCCTAGATTCATTCCCAACACCCTGGCTCATTCCCTACCTGTCGCACCAGTCGCCAAGCTGCGATCGAACAGCTCTCCTCCTGAGCACAGCTCCATGGCCAAGTAGATGTGCTTCCTGTCCTCAAAGGTCTCATAGAGCTTGATGATATTTGGGTGGTCCATGGATTTCATGATGGCCTCGGTTTATCCCAAGTTTTTTTCTTGGCGCTAAGAAAAATGCGCACTTGCATCTCCACGGATCTGGGGGCCAGTCTGCAGCAAAAGCTATGCAGCTATGCGCCGGGCAATCTCTTGCTGGAAGCGGACCACGTGCCTAGGTTCGCCAGCCATCTTTCCCAATCAGCTCACACAAGGTCCTTGCGCAACGCCTGCAACACCTGGGTGTGTGAGAGGCTAAGGTCCCCCAATTGCCTTCAGAAAGTCGCTGGACAATAGCACTAGCCTTCATTTTCTAGAACGCCTTTTTGACCCCAGCTTTACAAAAGCAACGTCAGACTTGTTGGGAGAATCAATCGGATTCCCTCGAAAACGAGACACCTATACACCAACCGGGGTTAATCAATCAATTGGGGCCCTGAAAGCTTGGTGCTTTACTGGAATCAAAGCAAAGGTTCCCATGCAATGAACCAGGGCTCATCTTAGCGGGGCGGGGTTCCCCCAAAATGAGATCCCATGTGAATCTATGGGGAGGTTCCCCTTCGCGCGGCGAGTTTCAACTCAGGGCGAATCCTCAGATTAAATTGGCGAAGCTAGCAATAATCTGCCGGGGTGAGATTCCTCCAAAAAACATGTTGTTCTGGTTGTCACCCGCCCCACGAAAACATGGCTCATGACGGCCTAGATAGCCAAGCTTGACCCAAAAAACAGCCGCAGTTGGTGGGACAAGCAGCTGGCGATCCAGGAAGCTGGTTTCTTGGTGGGACCACCCCACCCTAAGGCCAATCTAAGGCCCGTGCTTCATGTTCGCTTTGGACATGGTCTTGATGGCCCGCTGCAAGTGGGTGCTGTTGTGGGTGCCAATGGTCACGGAGCCATAGGTACCCTCTCCGATATTCGCGGACTGGAGGGTGTACATGGACTGCACGTCACCGGCATGGCTCCTGACGCTTCGATTTCGCCCTCCGAGCTCGGAAGAAGCTGGGGGACTTGCCCAAACATAGCATCTGTGGGACCCGTTGGATGAAATTCCTCTTGGGGGGTAATTGCTCTGTGCCAGTTGCCATGTTAGTGAGGGTATGTCCCTTTGAGCCCCCAATGAAACTCATAGACATGTTCGACTTCACCGTGCAACGGAGGCTGCACTCGCTGGCGCGGAACATATGTTGGACCTTTCAGTCAACGCCACTGGCATCCCCGACAGAAACGGGTTGGTCAGACTCGAAGAATTTTCAACGTGGCTGGTCAGCCATGGAATTTAGGGTGACCTGAACATGTCGGTAGTCGTCTATTCCACTAAAAAGTATTGGCATGCTGCATGTTCATTTTGATTACACTTGCAAAGGCAACACAAAGACAAATACCGCCTCTGGCCGGGGGGGAAGAATCACCCAAGTTGTAATCATACGTAACCGTGAGACAAATGCAAACGCGATCAAGTCACGATTGACGTGTTGCACTCAAAGCCGCTGGGGCAGGACCACTCAAACGAATCAACAAGCCGCATGCATGGCCAATTCCTGTGGGATCGCACTTGAGGCCTCGGATGTTTGAACTGATGGGTTGCTGCAACATAAGAAAGACCCAAGGACCCCCCTATGAATAATCTGGGGTTGATTAATATGGCCATGGGTCAAAATCCCTACCCTCAGTGAACATCCCAATCCCCACTAAAATAGACCAAAATGGGCGGTGCTCCTACCCCAAAATGGTAGACCCACAGCCAAAATATGAGGGCAACATGGCTGAATGTTGAGCCCAGCTTAGTTGTGGATCTCAAGCCGAAGATGTCTCCCTTCCGAGGCGCAGGATCAGCTGGCTGCGAGTGATGCTCTCGGGCCGCAGATTCCGCTGCTCCTGGGCCAATCCCCCTCCCCCCCCCCCTGTTAGGACAGGGTTGCCTAATTATGTGTGTGTGTTTCTGAAAGTGACGGCACCCCAAGGCGTCGGCTGTTACGGGCTCCAAACAGCTGGCACCGGTGGTCAGTGCCAACGCATTTTCTCCAATTTTAACAAGTCCTATCGTAGGCATTCCCGCACAGGAATCGAAGCCCGTGCCAAAATCTGCAACATGCACCCATGGACCCCTACTGAACTCCCTCTTCTGCAGACTCCACACACCTCCCCCTCCTCCAGGTACAAGCATTAAGCAAAGTCTCTTTCGTGACAAACTCAACACCAATTGCCAAGGATCAAGAAGCCCCACTTTCAAGCATTCTTCATCACGATTGAGCTCGGTTGATCCCCAAAGCTCGCTACAGTGGAACTAGGCGGGTTCAATACAGGCAGGGCAGCGTGCATTGGGCAAAGCAAAGTCCAACCAGAGCCGCTGCCTGACCATCGCAGCGGTCATGATGCTACAAGCGTGTCCAACACGTCTGAACTGCTTGGGCAGGTGACTCTACACAGGGGTACCTTCTCCATTCTTTCCAGGGATCCTTCTTTTCAGGAAACCAAAACCCAGGGGAAACAGCCGGTTTGTGAAAAGAACAATGGTTGAAAAGAATGGGGAATCAACCCCCAGAACAGTCCCTCCGAGGGTCACGCCATGCTACCCAGAACCCAGGAGCTGTGCCCAACTCTGCACCCGGTGCAGCAAAGTGGCCACAACCTCGGTGGACGGATAGCACTCCTCTCCGTCGTGGACGACGATGCTGCCGCCCTTAATGTCCGGCTTTCCTGGCGGAGCGCCGAAAACCTTCTGCTTTAACGCCTTCCCCAAAGAGTGCAAACGGGATTGAAATTGGTAACGTTCATTGATTTTGGAAAATTTACCTTCTGGTACCGGCACGCGGAGTGCAAAACCTGCTTTGGACAAGTTCATTGATTTGCGCGGGGTTCCGCTTCTCGGGATCTGCCTGTGCTTAAGAGATTCTTCGTGGATACGCCTCGCTCGCTGCTTTGGCCGCGAGAATTACCTGGCACTGTTTCCAGTAGCCAGGTTCCGAGCTCAAATCCCAAGTCCTTGTGATTCCCTTATGGTTGAAAAGGTTTGCATTTAGCCGCCTGCCTTAATAAATGAACTTAGCAACCAGAAGTCGGTTATCACATTCGCTTTCTGAGGTGTAAAGGTAACATCAGCTACGTCCATCAAACACCTGATCACCTGACCTCGGTTGCATTTAAACTAAGCTGCAAATCAACTGGACTCTTGACTCTTGTAGCTGACCCTTGGCCATTTCGACTGAAGTTTCACAGCACCCTACCCCTGTACAATAGATACATGGGTGGGGGTGCATAAGGCCCAAAATGTCGAACCTAGATTCAGCCTGTCGGATGAATGGGGGGGCACCCCACAAAATAAAGCATGGCCTCTAAACGGCCCCATTTTATTCATCAGGGGGACATTCATCCAGGCTTCTCGCTGTTTATGCCTCCTAGCTCTTTTTCTCGAAAGCCCATTTGCGCCTATGCATGCGCCCATGGCCGGGTGCGCGGTGGTGCACGGGGCACAAAAGGCACAGCCAATGCTGCGGACGGAGCGCGGAGTGACGTATGGGGGGGGTGGTCTATGTCTCACATGGACCGCGGATTTGTGTAGAACCTGAGGCCGATGAAGGGGCGTTCCCCCCGCAAGAAAAAAGTCAAGGACCCCCTCAAGAACGGGGCCCCTCTAAAATGGGCACCTCTCTAATACTCGCTAAGGAGAAAAAGGTCAACATCGTGATATTGTTTTAGACAAAAGTCAAGTCTTGACAGTGCAAGGCTCCAGTGATGTGTGCTTAATGCAAGGTGGTTTGTAGTACATAACCGTGACGTATCTTGAACACTGAGATACCTGCCAGCGCTGGCCAGGCAGCGCTTGAGAACAGCAGGGGACCTTGTTTTCCCCACCCCCCACCCGTTTCCGGCCCAGAAACGAAAGGCAAACAATCATGGTCACAAACTGTGGTTGGAAAAGCAGGGTCGTGAAGTGCCATCTTTGCAGCATCGCAAGCCTAACTCGCAAACTCATGCCCCCTATGGGCCCAAAGGCCAGCTGACCAGCGCAAGGTTGCGGCACGTTCAGGCGACAAACGGCCTAACTAAAAGCAAGGTCAAAGATCCCTTCAAAGCCCCGCCATACCTCCAAGTCAAGCAAACCAAACAAATGACTCGAATGCGTCTTATCCTTGAGAACAACTTGTCTCCTTGCTCACCACCCAAACCCTTTCTGCTTCTGTTTCATCTGGTCATTTGACCTACCTCCTCCACCAGACGATTCCATGGATTCTGCCGAACGGATCCCTGGAAGACTTTCATCAATTTACCCATGCCTTCTGCAAAACCTCCCGGCTGTCTGATACCTCTCCAAGCCCAGGCATGCCCCTCTGCCACTTCTCTCCTGGAAAAGCGGCAAGCGACTCGCTCGCCGCGTTTTTTGGGCCACCGGGCAGGGGGAAGGCGAAGGCGGGCGGGTGTCCACGCGCAGCTGCTGCACCAGCTCCTGGGCCATCTCTGCGGAGGGGGGTGGAAGGCCGCAGGGCGAAAGTAGAGAGCACAATTTCCCTTTGGGGTACGGGGGATAATGGATGTGCCATCTACTTTCATGGGAATTGGACCATAAGTGAAAGACCAAAATCATGAATTTTAAAAAGGGACCCTTGGGTCCTCATGTAGCTGGGGATTGTTATGTCCAGCAACCACTTTTCAGAAAGTTCCAGCCATGAACATTCATAGCCATGTGGGGTACAGGGATAATTAGAAAAATAGGGTAGGGACTTGTGACATCTACTCTCACTCGACTGTAATGCGCCAAAGGGAAACCACAGGAAACCCTCGGCAACACAGTCTTCTGGTGATTCCAAGTATTTGAGCTTTGAGAGGCTCGGAATAATCCTGAATGTGTCCTCCCCCAAAAGCTGAGACAGAAAAACAGCCCTGTCATCGAATGGGAATGTGCAACATGATGGGATCCGAACAGAGCCTTTGCGGGGGCCCTGGTGACATATTCTAACAAGTCCCGTTGGCCCTTGCAATTCTGCCCTTGCAGTCGTTTCTTAAGTTTTCTTATCTCCTCCTGACCCCAGCAAGCTGAGGCTTGAGCTTTCCATGTTTCCTTTCAAAGCCTCAGAAAGTGCAGGGTTTACCTTCATGGCTTGCTGGGTTGTCAGTGGTCGAATTCTCGCTAGATAAGCCCAGGGCGAGGGCAATCCTTGACGATCCTCAAACCTTTCGATCCAGGCCTCCCCCGGCCAACCCTCTGCGACCTGACAACCCTAAATCCAACTTTTCACTCCGCACTAACCCGATCCCAACTCCAAAGCGGAAGCTGTCTTAAGCCGGGAGTGTTTCACCTAACGCAATCTTCGGAACCAGAACATTGGACATCCTCGATGCCCAGTGCCCCCGCAAAACACCAGCAAACAAGTTTTGTTTCTGGGATGACCACTTTTGGTGCGAACGAACCGGGCAAAAAGGGCAACATATTGCCACTGAACACCTGAAGTAAATTTGCCCGCCTGTGTTGCCAACCTTGCGAATAAGACCTTGTTCAGCATGTTTAGCGCCCCCCCCTTCCAGTAAAGGACCTCCAGGGGTGATCTTGAGAGTCCCCGCTGTTGTGGTTCTAAAGGGAACCAAAACGGATTTGGGGCTCCCCTGAAAGACACGCCCACATGGTGTTGCTCTGGATCGGGTTGCCCCCTGCTCCCCCCACAGGTCCAACGTCGACTGAAGATTCTGGAGGCTCTGCTGGTCTCCCAGCTTGCTGTCCAACCTCTGCGCAGGCCAACTCAGCGTGGGCGCTCATCTACGCAGCTCAGTGATCCTTGCTGCCGGCTACATCTGCAGTGGCGCTATAAATTACGTTGTACTTTGATTACTCGAGGCACATCTGCTTCAAGAAGAACTTCATCAATCAACTTGGCAGTATTGCAAGGCAGCGTCGAAGTCTTTTCAGCTCCGGGGCTACGTCAAAGCACAGCCATTCAGTCTGTTCTTGCGTGTTCTGTGAAAAAGACGTCCATTTCGGTGCTAGGAGGGTTAGAGGCTTAAAGCGGCCATTGGCCATTGGCTTGCAGGGCTCTAGCCCTCCCGGCACTTTGGGAGGCCCTTAATTCGAGGTCGACCGCGCCGAAATGCGCGAGATCGAGCCCTATTTCGCGGGAGAGCCCACGGGAGCTAGCGGGTGAAACTCACTCATTCGCCTCGCCCCTGTAGTAGGCATTTGCGGCATAATGTGCATCCCCGTAGCGGCTAAGCAGGCTTTGCAATGCTCGATCCTGGGGTCGAGCATCCCGCGGCCATGGGAGGCGAAGGAAATATGTAAAGACTGGATGTGTCAACCTGCCCACCACACCAGGTATATGGTAGTTGGTTCTGCGATGTTCTGCGATTAGTCACAGGTGTGTGATCAAGAGAAACCTTCCATACCAGGGAGTTTCTCAAAATGGCGGACTACTCTCTGAGGGCCATCATTCTCGGTTGGCATTGGAAGGTTAAATCAGTCCAACTGGAAGCCCACCATTTTAGGGAACCCCTATTTTAAGAAACACCATCAAACTTCCGGCCCGGCAGCGGCTGGAGAGCCCGCTTGATATGTTTGATGCGCGAGAGTGCAACCCGTTGCTCTGACTAACATGGAAAACATAAGGCAAGCATTTTAAGAGGAGTCTCCTTTGGGTGACTCTGTTCTCAGGCTCAATGCTATTTTGAAGGTGAGTAATCATGAAGAAAAGATTAAACAAAAACGAAACCATTACTCCTCACCATCCCAAAAGCCTGAGCTTGCGCCCCTTTTTCCATTTTGGGCTCCAGCAAGTGCTCCAAGTTTGGCTCAAGACTTGGAGTTCCTCCAACATGCTGCTTCGCTGCAAAACTGACCGTCACCACCATGTTTTTCTTGCACCGTCTCAGTTGTGGCTTGGGGGGTCTGATGCAACCTCCCACGTGCAAACTTGCTGTGCTTCCCGTGTAGCACCCGATTGTCTCCCACGGTGTTGAGGGGAACCGAGATGCTAAACCCATGCAGGCAGTGTCAGCACATATCGATCTGCTTGTTGCTTCCTCAAACGATGCAAAAACAACAACATGTTCAACAAAGCTCTCCCGGTGTTTGTTTGTGTTCCTTTGATCCCTTTTTGAACTTCAATGATTTCTCAAAATCTGGACCTCAAGGAAACCCCAATTCAAAATGAGCCTTTTTGTTTTGCAAGTTGATTGCAAAAAGGAGCCCACTCAAAAATATACATGTTGCTGGTTTATTCAACGCAAACCCCCATCGAGAAACATATCGACGACAACATATCGAGATTCCCAATCTTGCCCACTATTTAAACCACTCCAGGCATTGCTGGCATCAAAATGCTACCAATTCCACTCAGGGGAGAGACGTCCCACTGAAATGTGATCGCTCGTGCTCGAGCACTGAACCCATATGACCAGCACAGTAAATAGGATCCGTCCCGCGCATGGCCACCCCCTCCCCATCGAGTTTTGGTTTGTTTGGGGAAAAGCCGGTCCCTGATCAACCATGGGCTTGCCCCCTTCCAACAATCATGGCAATGGACAGGGGGCAAATCCGGAAAAAAAGTCATCCTCAATTCATAAAGAGTTGGCACGGGCACGCTACGGCGACGGCCACGGCGCCACGGATGCGGCCACGCTACGGCCACGGAATCAAATCTGCCCCAATAATCAAACCCAGCCACACCCGCCCCTCCACAACCTATCACTCTAGTTTTCGCTACAACCCCTCACAACCCCTGCGACCCCCACCTCTCTCAGCCTTCCAACCCCCCAACCCTCCACCTCCAACCCTACAACCCCCACCTCTCTTAGCCTTCCAACCCTCCACATTCAAACCCTCCAGCCCTCCACCTCCAACCCTCCGACCCCCACCTCTCTTAGCCTTCCAACCCTCCCTCCGACCCCCACCTCTCTTAGCCTTCAAACCCTCCAACCCTCCAACCCTCCGACCCCCACCTTTGTTAGCCTTCAAACCTCCAACCCTCCCTCCGCCTCCAACCCTCCGACCACCTCTCTTCTCCACCCTCCAACCCCCGCAGCCTCAACCTTTCAGTCCCCCACAGCTTCCGAAAATTCCCGGAACTCTGAAAAGATGGGGGCTGCAGGAAGCTCCCGCAAACTTCCCCTCTCAAGCTGCACTTTGCCGTGGGCTTGGACTATTGGCTGACTTACCTTGCCTTTGTTGGGGCGGGGAGGGTTGGGCTGGAGCGCTGGAGTTGGAGGTGGGGTGGAGGGGTGGAGGGTTGGAGGTAGGGGGGGTTGGAGCTGGAGGGGGATGCAGAAACTGCCGGTAGCTTTTGGGCCGCTGCGGGAAGCTTCAGGGAACTAGCTCTGGGAAGTACTGGCTGTTTGTGGGCAGTGTGCCTCCGCTACGTGCCCGAGCTTCCCGTACTGTTTTCGGAGCTCCCTCCAACCCTCCAACCCTCCAACCCCCTCAAAACCTCCAACTCTTTTTCAACCCTCCACCTCCGCATCCAACCCTCCAACCTTCCACCAACCCTCAGTTTTTCAATCCTCCAACCCTCCACCCAACCCTCCCACCCTCAACCTTCCAGCCCCCAGGGCTTGGAAGCTGGCGGGGGGCTCCCAAGAGGTGCGCAGGGCTAGACAGTTGGAGGGTTGGAGGGCGGAGGTTTGGAGGTGTGGGGGAGGGTTGGAGGGTTGGATTGAAGGGTTGGAGGGCTGCGCGGGAAGGAACAGGCCACGGCGGCCACGGGCACGCTACGGCCACGGACACAGCGCCACGGATACGGCCACGGCACTTTACGCACGGGGATACGGATCATGGCCTGTTTATGTCCTCAATAAACCCCTCCCGTCAGCTTCCACGAACCGGCGAGATTTTCCTCCAGGGTTTCTTTGAGAAAAGTGTCAAGGAGGGCACTCCTCCGAGGATTTCCTCCCCAAACAATTCGTCCAAATCCTGCCGCGTGGCCGAGGGCCCGGTGCCCAAAATGCCCCGGAGCTCCGCCATGGTGGCCCTGGTCCGGCGCGCCGGTCGTGGCGCCGCCTCCAGGCGCCGCGCCTCCGCCAGCAGACGCATGCGCTCCCTTAGCGCCTAGGCCATGAATGGCACAGAAGCCGGGAGCGAGCGAGACCGGGGGGGGGGGGACACCGTGTTTTTTGTTTTCTGTTTTTTGCTTTTTTTGTGGGGGGGGGGGGGTCGGTTTTTTGAGGGTGCCCTCTTCTGGGTTGGTTTGAAGGGAAACCAAAAGGAGAGGCGAGATCCAGTTTGGGGTCCCCGAAAAAAGCCCTCACCCTTATCACTTCAATCGAACTTGCCTTTAGCATTGCAGAGTGCAGTCTTGAAACCGAGATGTCCAAAACCATGGGAATCCCGTTGAGCCGAACGAGCCGACCGAGCCGGCCACACACGGTGGTTTTTTGGTCAGGTGGGTTTTGGAAGGATTCGTTGGCCAAAAGCCACCCTTGAATGATTAAGCGAAGAGACCCACTCTCTCACCTTCTGCGGTGACCGATCTCAAAACGGAGCACATGCGCAATGTGTGTTTAACCCTAGAACAGCAAAATCCGCAAGAGGCAGCGGAGCACGAGCCTGTTACCAATCAAGAGGCGTGTTTTTGTTTGTTGTGGTTTGTTTGCTTGTGTGTTGCTTGGTTTGTTTGTTTTGTTGTTTTTTGTTTTCGGGTGCCTCTTTGAAAGTTAATGAGTGAATCATGGCAATAAAGGACACCCGATCAATACCATAAGTGATGCAGTTGGAATAACTTGCCCAAATACGTTGGTTAAACCAGTGAAACAATTACTGTACAGGTTGGCCAAGTGAAGAGGGAGCGGCACAGCATGTCATGTCAGAAAATGGTTCTCTCTTCTGCATTACTTTGCTCGGTTCAACTGCGCACAAGAGTTTGGATGTCAGCAGGTATGAGTATTATTGCTGCTTCCAAATTACAAGCAGGCTTGTAAATGCGTATCATTGCATGCCTCTGACTAGTTTGGCTTGCTATGCTTCAAGAGTTACCAGGGTACCCTCTCCATCGCCATGCCATCCCAAGGGGTGTTCAGGGCCGATGAGACAGACCCCGCAGTTGTCAGGGGCCCCCAAAATTCGAGCGCCTTCCTCTCCTCATCCTCCGGGTTCGCTTTATCCTGATGTCATGAATCAGCTTCCCAACCATTGGTGGTTTGAAGCCCGGTGATTTCGTGGTTTGGGGGTGGTTTCCCCCTCAAGAACCAAGGGTTCAAATCCCGAAACCACCGATCCAAACCACCAATGAAGGGATACCTGCATGAATGCTTTCCAAACATCTTGTTGGCCCGGGGATAAACAACGAGATAATTGTTCACTGGGCATGTTCGGTGCTCCCAAAGCGAAACAAAATCTACAAGTGAGGTGTGGGGTGGACACCCTTTTGGCTTTGCCTGAAACCAAGCAAAACGAGGGTCCCCATGGAAAACAAGCAAAATGTGGTCCTCCAGGAAAAGCGCCCCCCCAACCGCAAAGCATTAACATTGCCCCCTCCCCCCTCACACACAAAGAAACAAAGAACGACATAGCGGGTTCTGGGACCATGGAGTTGCCCAAAAGAGCCAGAAATCCACGGTTTTACCTGATACTTTGACTCACCAAGCGCCTTCATTGGGCTGAGATAAACCTCAGCCTGTCCTCCACGGGCGGCTCCGGTGGCTCCGGCGGCTCCGGCGCTGCCAGCTCCGGCATTTCCACCTCGCTCTCGCCCAAGAGCTGGGGCAGCCAAGGCATTTTCAGATCCATGGGCTGAAAGAAGC